CCGTGATAGCGGGGCGAGCGAGGAGGGGGCCCCGGTGCTTCGCCCATTCCAGAAGGATCGGGGCCGGGAAACGACAGTCGCATCGCGAAGCGCGGTGGAGAGCAATGTGGATCGGTTATTTCTGTAACCTGAGGCATGGTGACTTGAAGAACCGTGTGCACGTACTAGGAGAAATAATTCCAGAATGTTAAACAGGCCTGAGGGGTGGCTGTTCAACACCAGTTGGCAAAACACACCTAAAACCCAAAGATAAAGGCAGTTACGTGGACGGTTGCCTCACTGCTCTGTGTTGTGTTTTTTTCCCTTTCAGCAGAGCATCTCTCAGGAACACTCTCTTCAAAAGCTGAAAGAGCCCATTCTACAATGATGAATGCCGACATGGACGGTATAAGTTCTTAATGTTGTTGTTCTTTGTTTTTTTGTGGTTTTTTTTCTCTATTTAACGTAATTTCCAACTGCTACAGAGGTTGTATTAAAACTCTCATGATTTATTACAGCTGTTGAGGCTGAGAATCAGGTGGAATTAGAAGAGAAAACACGGCTTATTAATCAAGTTTTGGAACTGCAGCACACACTTGAAGGTTAGCGGTTTGACACATTAGATTTTTTACAAGCACATGTTAATAAGCGAAAGAAGAGAACCTTACTATTCTGCCCTACCTTAGTCCAAGTGTCTAGAAGTATGTCACTTAGGCAGTTGAAGGCACATAAGCATGGTCTGAGAGCTACTTTCTTTTTCCCCTTTATGCGACATAATGTTTGCTCGACTCCCGTAATACACGTCGAGCGGAAGGGGCAATACAGTGAACTTCCGCAGGCTCATCAGCTGACATACATCTTTGGGTCTGCTCATCACTGAACTTCTGTTTCCAAGTAGTTTAGGTTGCAGTAGCTCGAGTCAAAAACTCAAGAAAAGAATAAAGATACAGACCAACAGTAAGTTTGTGTAACAAGTTTGTCAAAATACTGTACTACAAAATAGTATAGGAAAAACGGGCTTTGGATGAAATTTACCAGTAGCGTAGTGTTTTACAAGGTAGTACCTTGCGGCAATGTTTCCCGCATTAGAAGCATGAATAGTTTGATGTAGGCACGGGGAACGTATTCATTATTGTATGCAACAGTGTCTAATATTTTTCTTATAATATCACCTTTACAGATCTCTCAGCACGAGTAGATGCTGTTAAGGAAGAAAACTTGAAACTGAAATCAGAAAACCAAGTTCTTGGACAGTATATAGAAAATCTGATGTCAGCGTCTAGTGTTTTCCAAACAACTGACACAAAAAGCAAAAGGAAGTAAGGGTTGGCTCACAGGTGTCATTGTATTGCTGCTGTCTTTTTTTGTTTTAGTTGGCGTAGGCTACTTGAGCTAAAATACCTTAGTTTGTGGCTTTCCTGGATACCTGAAGATTATAAACTTTGGTGATAAACAGAATTAAGACCATTAGCATGAATGGGAGACATAAGTTTGTGTATTGTTAAGATTAAGCAATGTGCAAGTGTAGTGTAGAGACTTACTGAACTTTCATATTTGTTTTAAAAACGAGCATATGTTGTTAAAAATTGGATTCAGTTTGTCAGGTCTGACAAAAGTCAGCGCTCTGAGGTTGTAGGGTAGTGTTCTTGACTAGTAAAATAATACAGTTATAACATTATGTTGGGACCTTATTTGATAAAAATATTCAAAGTCGAATTGCCTCACCTTTTTCACCTTAAATATATTTAGATTATTGTGTAGTACTGTCCGTAGCTCTGCAAAGCAACTTTAAACAAAAACCTATAAACCAGTTAAGAATTGTGATGAAGTCATAACAGTATGACGTTATTTGCAGGGCTTGCCTATAGAAAAGCACGATTTTTTGGGATGGGGAAGGGTAAGAGAAGCAGAACAAGGGTAAGCAGCTTACACCAGGGAAATACCGAACTGATACAGTATCAAGAGTGTTCGTAGTTTCTAAGGTGTATGCTTCAAACCATCTTCACTTTCCCGTTTCCTCAAAGAACGATGAGGCACAGCATCGCGATGTATGATCTTCCTGAAGTTTTTCAGCTGTGTGATGAAGAGTTAAGTAAGAACCTGAGTAATTAGCTTTACAGAAACAGGTCAGCGGTGTTCCTCATGCTCGTTGTGAACACACTGCAGCGAGGAACTGAGAATGAACCTTTCACTTTCATCCTGAAGTGCCAAACTTGTCTTTGCTTCAGGCCTTAGAGCAACTGTTTTCCTGCCCTGGAGCCTGAGCTTGTGAAGTACCTCTTGAGGTGCTGCACAAAAACATGCCAGGCAGAAGACTGCAGTGGAACAAAGGTAGCTTCTGCTTCTCAGATCTGTGGTGCTCTGAGCAATGCCTCATGCCAACATGCTGTTTTTTACTGGTTTGACTGTTTGTTAGCAAGTTTTGTATCCCAGGTTACAGGTCTGAGCACTTTCCATAGAGGCAGCATGTCTAGCACGATCAGTATTAAGGGAGAGCAGAAGCTGAAATGCAAACGATGTAAGTTTTAACAGTACTCGGCTGCATCTGTTTCACCTTGCAGTGCAGCAGCATTGCGGACTTATTTATGGAGGTTACCTGGAGCCAAGGTGTCTCTCTTCTGTAATGAAGCCACTGTACATTTACCTTTTAACAAAAGGAAACTACTAGTTCAAGGATCTCTTTCAACCTTGCTGTGATGAATTCTATAAAATAGAGCTGCAGGAACTGAATGAGTGGATGTAACAGTAGAATAAATCCCTCTCAGACCCCAAATTTCTTGGCAGCTGAGTGCTGCTGCGTCTCAAGGGTAAGCTGACATTGTGAGTCTCCCATTTCTACCTGTTTAAGATGACTGTACAGTGCTCACTGGAACGTCAGCACAGCCAAATGATTGCAAATGAAGCACTAATAGTTCAGTCTCAAAGGCTGTTTACAAGTCTGAGTCAAGAAACCTGATGATGAAAAGAAAGTTTTACTTACCAAGGCACAAATAGCCGATACCATTTGTGTCATGTGGTCCTGTAAACATCGAAGATTATTTTTCATCTTCTATGAACTACTCTGTCACTTCCCTGTCTGGAACTCTAAATTCATCCACGAATTGCTAGCAGGTAGAGTAGATCCTGTGGTTAGTCCAGGGTTTGAGCATTAAAAAAAAGACCCACCCTACCAAGCACTTGACTTCTCAAGATATCATTGCGTTACAGCCACCCTAGCTTTAAAGCCATGTCACTGCACATCTCTGCACTGTAGGAGATCAAGTGGTAACAGAGCATGCGCTTGTTAGACTTCAGCAGTTTCCCCAAGATCAAGTTTCCAATTGTAGAATTAGGTAGTGATATTTACATCCTTCAGTGTGTACATAGTAGTCACTTCATCTATATACCATTTTACATCCCACTACTGTGGCCTTCATTTAGCTTATGAAGATTTAAAAGATGTTGTATTCCTGACTTAACACTAAATAAAAACTTTTGATTTGTCTCTATTAGCTTGGTTTAGCATTTGTAAACCCTAAAACTTCTCATAACTATCTGTAGTCAAAAGGTGGAAAAGTAGTAGTTTGCCTTCATCTTAATTGTTTCTACATAGTTGAAGTGTCTGAAAGACTAATTAGCAAGTATTAAGATTAAACCTGGGTTCATTAATCTATTTTCAGCAAGCTGCCACTTCGTGATGCACTTTGTATTTACCCCATGAATCCTACATTTCTGTATGCTGCTCTGTTCTGGCTGAAAGGAAGAGGATGCGTGGACTGCATACAGTGCTGTCAAAGCTAAAACTTGCACCTCTCCACATGGGAGAACTTTAAGCCAAGTTAGAAGAGATTTTACCTTTTTCTTACCCAGGTAGTGAGCTCTACATGAGACAGCAGCCACAATTATTACTTCATCATACCTTCATGAAGGCGGAAGCTAACTGAGGAGTAGCTTCAGTTGCCATTAAATAAAACAGCCTCAATCCTACTTAGCCTGCCCTGAATACATTCTCAGTCTGGGATTTGGTGTCCTGGGTACCATCACTGTTACTAAGCTATGATGTAGCTGGTGGGAGTGCAGGCTGCAGAGGTCTGATACAAAGTTCCAAAGATGACTGACAAGTTTTAATAGCAACACATCCTGGAACTGGATTATCCTTAGTTTGTTAGTGTCAGAGCACTTTCAAGCAGCCGTGATAGAAGGATCAAGTGTTTTTCGTTAAATACCTGTTCAGACATAAATGGACTATGCATAGGAACTGTGGGTAAAATCTCAGTTACAAGTGTCAATGGAAGGGGGTTCCCCTTTTGCCCAGCTTTCTAGATCTAGAGCCTCAAATCCCTGAAGCTGACATTTCTCCCCAAATTACTAGTGTAAGACTAGAGTCAAGTAAGCTGACGTGCAGAAGGATGTCATGTAGCTCCAGGTAATCGAAGTCATTAAGTCAGTATTGAAGCAAGACAGGCCTTACAGAGTCAGTGTTATTGCAAACAGCACCCCTGAGTCATGGCCTCGCAAGACCATTTTACCCATACTAAATGGCTCCTTATTTACTGACGTGCAGTAGAAGCAAAGGTGCAGATGGGGCATTAGTCAAGACTTTATGGGAACCTCAAGCTCAAAATCGTAAAGGAGTACTACCATCCCCTGTGGGGTGCCCAGTCCCTGGAGTAACTATATCACACACACAGACACAAAAAAACACCCACAAAACCAAAAACCCCAAAACAGAGAGACAAACAAAAACCACCCCAAAACTAAAACCACACTCAAATGCTGTAAAATTCCAAAGGACTTTTACCAGGCTCAGACAAGATTCATTCAAAAGGAGAGCTGAAATGCTCCCTGACAGCTCGCAGTAGCTGTTACTAGCAGGATACCACATCGGTAACAGCTATTGCTGAAAAGTCACGGGCAGAAGGAAGAATTTGGAGTCTTCACTTCTTACCTTTTGCATGTAGACTCTACAATGTAAAGAGGAGGGAACTTGCATTTAACTTTAAAAAACATCTCATCAAAACTCCCAAATCACACAAGAAAACAGAGGCCCTTCCATGTAGTTCACACAAAATAGTCCAATATAATAAACTTTTGAACACATCAACACAAGCACATGCAGACACCACCTTCTTCGTTAAGAGTTAATTAAGCATTCATTTGTTAGAGACTTCCATGGAATCTTTGCTGATGCTATCTGCTGTGAAAATATTTCTTTGTTTAGTGAGCTTACTCGTTGCCAGGCACAAGGAAATCTATTAGGTCCTTCTGAATTAATGTATTTCTACTTGGTTTTAATGTATGGCTACTTCTGCTAGCATTTTACATCCTACTCATGTGACAGCCAGCTGCCAAGCATCAAGAGGTTTCTGGTGACTGCAGTTTTATTGTTTTATGTACAGCTGAACTTTAACACAACAAAGTTATTTACGATATGCAGTTTATTTAAACTATATCATGAGAATGCCCAGTTACATCTGTAAAAAACGTAATCAAAAATCCTCATCTATATTAGTAAGTTTCATGTTAAGCAAGAATTATTAAATATTTTTACGAGGCAATGTACACTTAGCAAGTATTCTATAAAGAGGGGTTATACCACTCTGGCTTGGAACATGAGAACTATAAAAGTTTGGAAAAAATCATCTGTATATCACTTCTGCAGATTTGATATCTGCATTCAAAAATACAAGTCACATCAATTACCACTTGTCCTATGGGTATTTCATTTTAAAATATCTCTTTAAAATAAATTACTGTAACCACTGTCTAAAGTGAACAGGTAATCATCCATGTAACAAGATCAACTAAAATAAATAATTTACAACATAAATTGTTGCTAGCACTAAATCATCATACAAAAACAATTATTGCATTTAGCTCTGCACAGAAAAAAATACCTTTTCTCATAGCAATGCGAACTGCTATAGATGCTACATCTATACTATCATCCTCTTTCAGCTGAAAACTGTAAACAGCTAATTTTGAGCTAGAGCTGCAAAAATATCATAATTTTTCACGTTTTAAAAAAATATTTAAAGTAAGTTTATCTCCAACTAATGCTAATTTCTAGGAATCTTCAAATCTTAAGAAAAAAATCAGTTGGCCAACTTGTAATTTCACTTTTATTCTGAATGTGAAACATCGGCTAACTCCTCACAGATAGGATTTCTCCTTAAAAAAGGGAATCAAGTAAGTGTGGGAAGGTTAAAAGACGTTAGAGAATTAAAATAGGAGGTCAAGTATCAATGAGTTCGCCTTTTTCCTTCGAATCTCAAACTTGCATGCTGTCAGGCCCACTGAAGTGGCATACCAAACGTTACTATTATCTAGACCTACAAATACTAGCTGAAAGTAACTCAGTCCTTTCGCACTCTTCGTTTGCGCACTGATTTCAGTAGACCATCTCCATAAACGGTGCTTTCATCAGCTTCTTTCATCTAAAAAAAAAAAAATCAGCATTACAATTTAAAAACAATTTTAGTTTAATTATTGAAACTGGCATGTTACTTTATTCCTCCTCCCAAACCCCCTCAAATCATATTATGACTAAATGCC